AGAGCACTTGACTGCTAACCAGAAGGCTGGAGGTTCAAACCCACCAGCCACTCCTTGGAAGGAAGGTTGGGCAATCCTACTTCCGTGGTGATACTGCCTCGGAAACCCAAGAAGGGGTAGCTATGAGTCAGGGCCGACTCGATGGCACATAACAACAACAACAACAACAACAACAACAATGTCCAGATTATAAATCACTCACTCATCCCATTGCCATTGCGTCAATTTCAGCTCATAGCGACCCCTGTAAAGACAGAGTACAACTGCCTGATAGGTTTCCAGGGTTGTAAATCCTTACAGAAGCAAACTGCACATCTTTCTTCCATGGAGGGGCTGGTGTGTTTGAGCCATGGACCTATCAGTTCGTAGCCAAGCGCTTTAACCATTTTGCCACCAGGACTCCTTATAAGTCACTAAATCATTTTAAAAATTTTTACATGAATTCTTTTGTAAAATGACTTACTCATTTATGAGAAAATGCATCTTCAGAAGTTCTTATTTCATTTATGTGCTTGTTTGAGTGAGGTTATATTACGCCAAGGTGATACAATACTGCTTCTCTTTAAAAGCATTGGTTTTTCCTTAGGATATTATTAATTTTATACATAATTCATTGTTGTTGTACCAATTGAAAATTTATTGAAATGATGTTGCTAGCTCATTAAACTTGTTGTTGGTTTCCTTTCCTATTTACGTACCTGGCCTGTCTTCTGAATGGTTCTCAGCACTCTCTCCTATAGGTTATTATTTGATTCTCATTGTACCCAATAGTTTAGTCAGTGAAGTTATTATTGACTCCATCGTATAGAATAGGAAACAAAGCCTAAAAGGGTAAATAATTCTCTGAGCTTTGATGATTTGTGAAGCAGAGAGATTGTTGTTTTATTTTTTCCCTTCATAAAAGTTTTGCTGATTTTTTTTTACTCCAGTATATGTTCATTTTAATTTAATAATATAAACTGATAGGTAAACACTAAAAGGTATTTAATATATAACATTTATTTTATTTTTTTTAGATCTTAACATTTGTCTGTGATGCCTGCAACAACTTTATCCTTCATGTTCCTTCCAAACTAGATGCTGAGAAATTTATTGGTAGAGGTAAGAAACTGCCAAAATGGGTGATAGATCTTAATTTGGTATAACCTTTTTAAAGTTAGTGTAAATTTTGAAAGATAAACCTAATGAGACCAAAGTTAAAATTGATATAGTACATGATCATTTTTAATACATATACTATCATTCCAATGAAAGGAATATTGCTCTTTATTGAAACATCACCATATGAAGTAGATAAAAAAGGTTTAGCTTGAGTAATAAAATAATGACTCAAATATTAATTATTATAAAATATTATAATATTTATTATAATATAATAAAGTATATTTGCATTGTTGTTGTTGTTGTTATGTGCTGTCGAGTCGGACCTGACTCATAGCAACCCCTACTTGGATTTCCGAGGCAGCATCACTATGGAAGTAGATTGTCCCATCTTCCTTCCGAGGAATGGCTGGTTGCATTAGCTGAAGGATATGGAATATATCATAAAATGCTTCTATGAAATGAAGAATAGTATTGAAAGTATTTTTTGAATTTAAAGATACTATTTTTATTTTTAATTTTTTAGCGTCTTATGCCATCTTTTTAGCATTTCATTTCATTAAAAAGCTTTTTTCAATGTTATATATTCAAGCCTTGGAGGTAAGATACCTTTATCTTGGGACAGACACCGCTTCCTTAAAAGGATGTTAAGTAGGTATTAGAAGTAATGTATGTGTGTAAGCACAACTTAATCAGACTTCCAGATATCTAACTTTCAAAAATGCAAAATTTTGCAAGACCCAGTATAATTAATTTTTAAGTTTTTGGCTCCCTTCCAAATGCATAGATTTCAGAAAAACTATATATTTTTATGTTTTACCTTACAAATAATTACTATGTATATTTTCTATAGTTAACCTGAAGGAGTGCTTTAAATCTGCAAATCTGATTCACTCAAGTGATCCTGATTTCCGAATTTTAGAAGATGGCTCAGTTTATACAACAAATACTATACTTTTGTCCCCGGAGAAGAGAAATTTTACCATATCACTTTCCAACACTGAGAACCAAGAGAAGAAAATAGTTGTGCTTTTAGAGCATCAAACAAAGGTATCACAGACTGTACAAGTGAAGTGTCATGATGTATTTTCTTTAAGAATAACTAACAGTACAAGGGAAGATGGAGAATCAGAAATGGTATGAGATAATTTAGCTTGAAGGAGAATGAAACCACAAGGCAAGTTCACTGTGTTCAAACACAAAAGGGTTGTGCAACATAGGTCCCTATGGGTTGTTACTCCTTCCTCCTGAGGAGGAATTGGGATAAGCTACGGCATGAGAATTTGAAATTAGACACACAAAAAATGTTCCTTTACATTTACTGTAGGATGGATGTCCAATAACCAGTTTTGAAACTTTAGCACAATTTGTGGTCTTAGAAAATGGATGACAGTTTTAGGTTGAGGTTTGGGCCTCATGCATGTTTATTGTATTGTGACACCCAAAGTCAAAATGTTTTCCATCTGCCATTGGCCACTGCCTAGTGCAGTGATCTGAGAGTTGTCACCATGTTTCTCTCCTCATTCTGACACAGACTTCTCTGTTGGTTCCCTGGCTCTGCCTAGCTGTTGGTGAGTGGAACATGCTTGTGCTAAATTTAGAAGGGCACATTCTCTGCTTATTTTCATTGCATCTCTCTCCTCCCATGTTATTGCATGGCAATACGAAAACAGTAATTTATTATTGTTGTATTTAGTTTCTCTTCTAAGCTTGCAATTCCATTTCTCTCTCTTCCATATTACCAATAAGTTATTTTCTCAAAAGAATCGCTGTGAGACAGCTATGCAGTTATCATTCTTCATTATCTTTTTTGCAGTGTGATATGTAGTGTGGTTTTCAAGCACTACCATTGCCTTATACTTTCCCAGTTAATTCTCATGGAAGGACAAAGATGTATCAGAGTGCTAATGTTTGAGAATAAAATAAATAGTTATTGACTTTATCTTTTTTCTGTCTTCTAAATTGAGGTATTGAAGAAAAGGAATTCTAAAGAAAAAGTTCTCAAACGTGCCAAGAGAAGATGGGCTCCTATTCCTTGTTCCGTGACAGAGAATTCCTTGGGTCCTTTCCCATTATTTCTGCAACAGGTGTGTTATACTTTCCTCTGTTTTGGAAGTCTATGATTTCCATCTTTTTTTTTTTTTTATTTGGACACTGAGGATGCAGTTATTTAAAAAATCATTGTGAATAGATATATGAAGGGGTAAGTATGTGCATTGTATGTTTCAATAAACCCAAAACCAAACTCACTGCCATCGAGTCAACTCCAACTCATAGTGACTTCCATTGGGTTTCCGAGGTGGCAGATCTTTCCAGAGGTAGATTGCCTCATCTTCCTTCCACGGAGAGGCTGGTGGGTTCAAACAGCCAACCTTTTGGTTAGCGGTCAAATGCTCTAGGCACTGTGCCACCAGAGCTCCTTTGTAAGTTTCAATATATGAGTGAAAATATATGTATTTATATCTACTTACATTTTTCACAAATTTTTAGTTATGCA